AGAGGAAGGGCGGTGCAAAGCCCTGTGGTTGGAGGGCTCCTGGCTGGGTACTGAGGTACTTTGAAAGTACTCAGAGCTGGGGGAGAGCGCACGAGATGAGGCTGTTGGCGGGTCCTGCGAACTTTGCTAAGGATTCCGTGTCTCATCTGAAGGCTCAGGAAGCACTAAAGGATCTCAGGCAGAGGGAGAGAGTGATGTGAGCTGATTCACATTTTATTTTATTTTATTTTATTTTATTATTTTATTTTATTTTTTTGTGAGGAAGATCAGCCTTGAGCTAACATCTGCCAATCCTCCTCTTTTTGCTGAGGAAGACTGGCCCTGGGCTGACATCCGTGCCCATCTTCCTCCACTTTATATGGGACGCCACCACAGCATAGCCTGACAAACCGTGCGTCAGTGCGCGCCCGGGATCTGAACCGGCAAACCCTGGGCTGCCGCAGCAGAGTGCGCGCACTTAACCGCTTGCACCACTGGGCGGGCCCGATTTGCATTTTAGAAAGTGTACTCAGGGCCGGCCCCTTGGCTTAGCAGTTAAGTGCGCGCATTCCGCTGCTGGCGGCCCGGGTTGGGATCCGGGGCGTGCACTGACGCACTGCTTCTCTGGCCGTGCTGAGGCCACATCCCACATACAGCAACTAGAAGGATGTGCAGCTATGACATACAACTATCTACTGGGGCTTTGGGGAAGGGGAAAAAAAAAAAAGTGTACTCAGTCTGCGTTGGGGAGGATGGACTGGATGGGGTGAAAGTGGGTGTGTGGAGACCAGTTAGTAGATGATGCAACAGCCCAAGAGAAAGATGATGGCATTTGGTTCATGATGGTGGAGGCGCAGAATAATCTGGAAACTTGGGAAGGTCTCTGAACATAAGGTCTGGGTCCATCGCCAGCATCTCACCCCTGGTAGTTTATTGGAATCATCTGTGGGGCTTTTAAAACATCCAGAAGCCCAGGCAGGGCCCTAGACTCCCTGAGACAGAAGCTGAAACAAAGACTATCTTACATTGATTGATATAACCTCTTTGGAGGACAATTTGGAAATATTTATCAGCTTTTAAATGTTCATATCCTTTAACTAGGCAATTCCGCTTCTGGATGTTTATTTTTCAGATATGTGTTCACACTGTGTACAAAACTACATGCACAAGAACATCCACTGAAATCACGTCTGTAACAGTAAAAGACTAAGAGCTATCTAAATGCCCATCCACTAAGAGACTGGCTAAATGAACTATGGTGCAGCCTTTAAAAATAGTGATGTAGGGTGTCAAAGGTGAGAGAAAGGCATACTTTTAACTGTAAATCCTTTACTTCCCATAAGAATTAATTTTTGTTGAAATTTTATTTTGAGAATAGTTAGAGGTTTGCACAGTTCAAAAATCAAAGCAATACTAAAAGACGTTAAGAAGTTTTGCTCCCACTCTTGCCCTCTCATCGTGTTCCCTGTGTCCACCTCGTATTAGTTACTGTGGTGGTAGCCAGCCTCCAAGATGGCCGCCTGTGACCCCATCTCCTGGTCTTCACACACTTGTGTAGTCCCCTCCTTCACTTTTGGTCTATGCGACCAACAGTGTATGGCAAGAATGTTGGTATGTCACTTCTCAAGTTATAAAAGACACTGTGGCTGCCATCTTGGGTGCTCTCTCACTTCTTGGATCACTCACTCTGGGGGGAAGCCATGTTGTGAGCAGCCCTGTGGAGAGGCCCACATGGGAGGAACTGAAGCCTCTGGCCAAAAGCCAGCAAGGAGCTGAGACCTGCCAATAAATACATGACTGAGCTCAAAAGCGGATCCTCCAGCTTCAATCAGCCTTGACATCACTGCAGCCCCAGCTGACAGCTTGACTGTGGTATCATGAGACCCTGAGCCAGAGCCACCCAGCTAAGCCACTCCTGGGTTCCTGACCCTCAGAAACTGTATGAGATGATAAACGTTGTTTTAAGCTGCTAAGTTTTGGGATAACTTGTTACATAGCAACAGATAGCTAATATACCATTTTTATTAGTTTATTATTTATCCCTCGTGTTTCTTTATGTGAATAAAAGCAAATGCAAATATATATTTTTATTTCCTCTCCTTTCTCACATACACAAAAACTAGTGTACTGTATACCCCATTCTATGCCGTTTTTTTCACCCAATGATATTCCTTGGAGATTTCACATCATTACATAGAGAACTTCCTCATTCTTTTTACAGCTGCATAATGTTTTGTTGTGTGGAGTATTTATTCAGCAAGTCTCCTGTTGCTTGGGTGGTTTCCCACTTTTCATTATTACAAATGATGCTGCAGTGAATAACATGAAAGTATATCCCTTCATACGGTGCAAGGGTATCTGTAGGAGAGCATTCCAGAAGTGAAGTTGCTGGGTCAAAGGTACATTTTGCAACTTTGGTAGATATTGCCAGATCCCCTCCATAGGCGAAGTATGCCCTTTAATATGTTTGAATCTTGAATCATTTGCCTGTTTTGCCTTTAAAAAATATCTCTGCAGATGATTCCGATGCTCATCTGAGGTTGAGAACTCACCACTGCTCCACTCTCTCTTGATCAGATGCTCTGAGGGGATGAGAAGGGGAAAGGTTAAAACCAAAACTCTCCACATGCTTTTAATGCAGTCACTCAACAAAATTTCCAAACAGCTGCTAATTCGAAAGCCCAGGGGAGCTCTGAAACTGGGCTGGGAGCTCTGGGAGTAGTCTGTAGCCAAGGGTGAAGACAGCTCCCTGTGGACAGTGGCTTCGGGCTCAGCAGGCTCCTGACACAGGGAAGCAGTGCCCGTGTGCCCGGTGCAGGCTCAGGCCACCATGGCTTGGGAAAACCTGGGCGCCAGTGGCCCTTCAGGGTCTGTGCAGGAAGACTAAACCACTCTTCAGAATGACAGTCTGAGCTGGAGCTTAGAGAACAGGACAGAGGGTTGTGCTCAGGGGCGTCTGTCGGGGTTATGGCTTGACAAGGCTGGCCTGAAAGAGTCGTAGCTATTTTATTAGGTTGGAAAATGGAGTATTCTTAATATAAATTTGTGGTGGGAAAAAAATGCTGATCTCCACAGCCAGCCAGCTGTCTGTATTATGGATCACTCAATTGTATTTCCACTCAGCACTACGTGAGGAAATACCCCAAGCCATCAGGAAATGTTCTGCATTAATAGTGAATCTAGATTGTGCCCAGAGAAGTAAGTCATGTTCACAGCAAACAGGAGGGTCCAACTCTGCTTTGACGCTCTTCTGCGGTTATAATTTCAGCTAACATAACGCTTTCCCATTGTTCAAAGATTTTGGCAGCCCTTCTGCCCAAAGGAAGACAAGAAAAATTCCCTTCATGTTTGAAAGCTTACTCTAGAATATGGCAGTGCAGCGTAGTTGGGGAAAACATGGGATTTATTGTCAGAAGATTACATTTTTAGTCTAGTGCTATCACTTATTAGCAATTGATCTTGGCAAGCCATTAACCTTCCCAAACCTTAGTTTCCCTAGCTGGTAACTGAGAATAACAACGGCTGCCTTAACCCGAAGGGTAGTTCTCAGGACTCCCCTCCGAAAAGAAACACTGCAAAAATGCCTTAGAAAAAAGTGTGCGGTCTGTGCCTGATTATAAAAGTGATTATGCACTTTGGAGCCTTTATTTAGTAACTTCAATGCATGTCCATTGTAGAAATTCTACTCAATCTGAAATAATTGAGTTGACTCTCAGAAATGTGTATGGTTCTTATAAAAAGTCACTTCCCACCTCTCCTCAATATCAAGCTTTTAAAATATCAGCCTGGTTTTCACAGGTTCACAAACCTGCTCCCACAGAAGCTGCCCCAGCCCTGTGGACGGCAATGCCATTCTTCAGTTGCTCAGTTCAGCAACCTCGGAGTCATCCGTGACTCTTCCGTCGTATCCATATGAAGATGGACTCCTCATATCAACCCATCAGCAAATCTACCTTCACAATACAGCCACATTCTGACCACTTTTCCCCAACCTGGTCTGGGCCACCAGGATCATTGCAGTAGGTTTCTTCTAGCTCTTCATGCCCCATCCTTACCCACACCCCATTCTGTGCACAGTGGCCCTTTTAAAATAAAGTCACATCATGTCAATCCACTGCTCAAAATCCCCCAGTGACCCCTTCTCACTCAGATCCAACCACTGCCTGTGCGTCCCCCCGTGTGGTCTGTTCCTGATCATCTCCTGCCAGGCTGTGGTTGCTTGGGTCACACTGGTATCCTTGCCTTTCCTGAAACATGCCAAGCATGTTCCTACCCCTGCAGTCTGCAAATTCTTTTTTAGGGGTGGTGTTCTTTCCCAAATCCTCCACACACACTCGTCTCTTCTTCTGGGCTCTGTGCAGTGTTACCTTATCTGAGTGCAGCATGTAAAAATGACAAGCCCTCCCCACGCCCAACCCAGCAGGCACTTGCTATCCCCCTTACCCTGCTTTTTCTCCACAGCACTTTCCCCATCTGACATATATATGTTTTTCTGTTGATAACCTTCTCCCCCTTCCCTTCCATCCCTGCTGCCAAATGTAAGCTTCACAAAAGCAGAAGCTTTGTTTTATTATCATTATATCCCCAGAGCCTAGAACAGTGCCTGACTCATAGAGTAGGGACTTGTGAAATATTTGTTGACTGAATGAACAAATAAATGAATGGATTACCTAAGTGTGACACATATATGCATACCTAGTAGACATGTGGATAAGTTGATATTACAGTTATATGATAACCAATGAAGTTGAACTTATCTTCTACTATTTATAGGCCATTTATATCTCTCCTTTTGTAAGTTGTCTTTTTGTATCTTTTGTTCATTTTTTCTATGGAGATGATGATCTTGTTTTATGTGCTCTTTATTAATAATTTTTGCTCATATACTTTCTATTTTGAAATGTGCACTGTGGGATAAGGTACCACTTTAAAGTGTCTGAAATGTCTTTTAAGATTGAATAAGTCTCTAATGTATGAATCGTTTCTTACTTCTGTTTCTCTGATTCTAATTGGATTCTCAGAATTGGACTCTTGTGCTTTGGGGGACCATGGTTGTGAACATTCATGTGTAAGCAGTGAAGACTCTTTTGTGTGCCGATGCTTTGAAGGGTATATACTCCGTGAAGATGGGAAAACCTGCAGAAGTAAGTTTTTGTTGGGGTCACATTACTGGGTCTGACCTCTGCGTGAAATCCACCAACCCAATCTTTGTATAAATCAGTTACTCTCAAAAGCCAGTGCCACATGACCACAAAATGTAATGTGAGATCTTGGATGGGATCCTGGATCAGAAAAACAATATTTGGTAAAAACTAAGGAAATGTAAATAAACTATGGACTTTAGTTGATAATAATGTATAAGTATTGGTCCATTAATTGTAACAAATGTATCACACTAATGTAAGATGTTATAGGGGAAACTCGGTATGGGGGTTTATGGGAACTCTCTGTACTGTCTACTCAGTTTTTCTGTAAATCTAAAACTGTCCTAAAAAATAAAATCTAATAAAAAGAAAACAAACAAATGGACAAATGAAAAAAGTCAATGCCAGAGCTACAACTGAAGTTACTCATTTGTGCCCTGTAACATAGAAACAGTGGTTTAGCAAGATTCCCTAATAGAAAGATGTCCAGTCTGAAATCCAAGATTCTATCAGCTTCTAGCTCTGCCATTCATTAGCTAGGCAAGGTGCTTCACTTCTCTGAGCCTCTGTTTATTTACCTTTAATAATATTGTTGGTGTTGTTTCTGGTAGCACAAATCCCTCTTAGAGACCACCTTATGATGAGGCCATTTTTACGTCTTAGAAAGCAAAGCCTCTTAGATGGGGCCAAGACACTTCTCTGTATAATCAAAGGAGAGTGTGTAGCCCTGAGTAAATGATTTCCATCCCTATCAATCATCTTTTTGTCAAGCTTGTCAAAGCACTTTACAAAAAGCTACTCATGTTGACACATTTGAAGAAAAGATGGGTAACTGGAATAGTTACTCTCAGTTTTCAGACAGGAAAGCTAAGTCTCCAAGAGGTTAAGTGATTCTCCCAAGTCATGTAATACGTCAGGGACAAAGCCAAAATTAGATTTCAGTGCCGCTAGTCTAAATTGAAGTTTAATCTTCTAAGTAATTATACCAACAGTGTTTCCTGTCTGATATCAGAACTATGTCTGCAGAAAGCTGACGATGGGTTGCATTTTTATGAGACACTGAAGTAGGTGCTGGTGGCCGATGGTGGTGATGATAGTGAGGAAGTTTGACGAGTTAGCCCAAATTAGAGCAGCTGAACTTCAACCTCAATTTTACCTTCCTCCCATGGATCACTGAGCTCCAGTGGCTGTGGGGTCCAGTGGCTGAGATGGATGGATCCTCTGACGTGAAGCCCGGGGAAAATTGACGTTAGTGAAATTGTTTTAACTTGCTCTGCTGTCCCCAGGGAAAGATGTCTGTCAAGCAGTAGACCATGGCTGCGAACACATTTGTGTGAACAGTGATGACTCGTACATCTGCAAGTGCTTGGAGGGATTCCGGCTCACCGAGGATGGGAAACGCTGCAGAAGTAAGTAGCCTCAAGGTAGAGATGAACTCTTCCATCTCCGGGACTCGGACAGTTGTATAACTTAATTTCATCTTTAAAATCTTCCTTTACAACCAATGTCACAATTTTAAGTTCCTGCCTTGGGTGCTCTGAAGTGTTTTGCTAGTGATCAGTACAGTAGACCCTTAGTTCGTAGAAATTTCTCAGTCAAGGTCCTGAGTTGTCGGGCTCTTTGCTTCTTTTCATTTTCTCTCAGCTGTTGGCCCTCTCCACAATAGTTGTGTGGATGCCCAGAGCCTGGCACAGTCATTGGACTGAATTAGAATCTCTGCCAGCAATCACTATGAGGATCAAAGGATAATTATAGTGCTCTTTCTTCTTGGAAGACCTGATAAGTAAGGGTAGAGGGTGGGAGAGGGACTGAAGGGATTTTCTGTAGGTTTTATTTATCCATTCCCTCTATTATTTGCTTAGAACAGATTCTGAGAGTTTACTTAGAAGGTGTATTAGTTAGGGTTCTCCAGAGAAACAGAACTAATAGAATGTGTATGTGTGTGTATGTATGTATATATATATGTATATGTGTGTGTGTACATATATGTGTGTGTGTGTGTATGGGGGGGTAGGGGAAGAGAATGATTATTGGGGTTGGCAAGTCTGGTATCTGCAGGGTAGGCCAGCAGGCTGGAGACCCAGGGAAGAGCTGATATTGCAGCTCTAATCCAAAGGCAGTCTGGAAGCAGAAGTCTCTCTTCCTTGGGGGAATTCAGTCTTTTTTTCTCTTAAAGCCCTCAAGTGCTTGGATGAGGCCCACCAACATTATGGAGGATAATCTGCTTTACTCAAAATGTGCTTACTTAACTGTTAATCTCACCTAAAAAAATATATTCACAGCAACATCTAGACTGCTGTTTAACCAAACAGCTGGGCACCATAGCCTAGCCAAGGTGAAACAAAACATTAACCATCACAGCACCCAAAGGAAGAGAGAGTCAGGGACCCATGAGCTCAGTGAGGTGTGGGCATGAGAATAGCACAAGGCAGGGATTTTTCTCCACTGTGAGGTTCTGAGCTGTTAATCCCTACTTTTGGGGGTTTGACACTGTCTACTTGCTTTGTGACATTCTGCTCCTTTGGGCAGGATGGCCCTTTTTTAGTTAAGACAAAATAAATTCATTTGCTTTTGAGGTTAACTTGGGGGAATTTCCTCACAGACTCCTTTGAGATAGCTGGGGGGCCCTCCATATGTCAACAAAGCTGGGTTGGGTGGAATTCACTGTCTTCATTCTTCCACCAGGAAGAGGGGCTCCTACTTTTAGTGGAACAACCAACTCCTGGGATGCTCATGGACCCTGGCCTAACTCTGCAGGGCTCCCTGCACGATGCTACGTCTTGCCTTCACACTACGCTGTCCCTTCTGTGGAGACCATGTCTGCAATTCTGCCGTTTAGTCTGCCTGAGTCATTTGTTCATGCTCTCATTTCTATAAATGCCAGTGTACACACATACACCATTTATTCATTCTGCACATTTATTGCTCAGTAAATTGAGCTGTTGTACACAAGGCACAACTACTGCCTCTAGAATCTGATCGCTAAATCAAATCCCACCACTCCCACTTCCTAGAGGGATCTGCAGTACACCCATTCCAATTTTGGAGGAAGCTTCTTCTTTTAGGGAGCTAATGACAGAAAAGAACCATAGGCTTTCATGACACAGAGGAGGAGGGACTCAGGAGACATCATCGCTCAGCTGTGTCATCAACTTGCTGCATGACCTTGGGCAATGCTGTGGAACTTTTTGAGTTTCTTCATTTATATATTGGATCTAATTATCCTTGCTCTTCCTCTCACACAATGTTGTGAAGATTAAAGGGCTGTAATTACTTTGAAGAGTTTGAAGTACCTTGCACATGAGAAATGTTCATTAGACAATTAAAACTGGAGTGTTTGGGGGGGCCACCCTGGTGGCATAGTGGTTAAATTCACGCACTCCACTTCGGCAGCCTGGGTTCGCAGCTGTGATCTGTCCTGACATAACTATTCAATCCAGCTCATTTCTACACTGATGTGGTTGCTCAACTCCCTACATTTTCCTCAGGGAAGGATGTCTGCAAATCGACCCACCACGGCTGCGAACACATTTGTGTTAATCGTGGCAGTTCCTACATCTGCAAGTGCTCAGAGGGATTTATTCTAGCTGAAGACGGAAGACGGTGCAAGAGTAAGTGATTAGAACTTGGCTTTCTGCTTTAATTTGACTTGGGAGCAATTACCTTTTGGAGTATTTTCCGGAAATGAATCCCTGACCTCTGCTTCTACCATAAATATAAATGTGTATGCATGAATTCAAATAGGGAAGAGAGAGCTTAACTACAGCACTTTTGGTTTTAGTTGACAGTAAATTCACTATCACTAAAAGGCTAGAGTGATCTTAGCTAAATAAGAATATCTGGAATGAGGGAGGGTAGACTTGTGCTCTGCTCTGTGCTGGAGAATTACATTCAATTTTGGGCATTGCACTTTAGGAAGAGAGAGATGGATCAAAAAATCTTGGGAGAATTATTTTATAATCTAGGAGTAGAAAACACCTCTCTAAACATGACATGAAACATAAAAGCCATAAAAGAAAAAAAGGGAAAGTGTGTAGTAAGAGATTAATGCTATGATATATTTTTTTCCTGTTATCAGAGAGCAAAAAATTTGATGATTCCTTGGGCTGGCCCGATAGCGCAAGCAGTTAAGTGTGTGCACTCTGCTGTGGCAGCCCGGGGTTCGCCGGTTTGGATCCCGGGCGCACACCGACGCACTGCTTGGCAAGCCATGCTGTGGCGGCGTCCCATAAAAGTGGAGGGAGATGGGCACGGATGTTAGCCCAGGGCCAGTCTCCCTCAGCAAAAGAAAGAGGAGGATTGGCAGATGTTAGCATAGTGCTAATCTTCCTCACAAAAAAAAAAAAAAATTTGATGATTCCTTATGTTGGCTAAAGGTACATTGTAATAGGCAATTATAAATTTCTCACTAGGTGTCTGAATTGGTACAACCTTTAGGGGGGCAATTTGGCAATGTTTTAAATGGAATTCCACTTCTAGGAGTTTATCCTACCGATGCATGTGTTCACAAAAACATATGTATACAAGGATGTTTTATGCAGCATTATTTGTTGCAGCAAAAAAATTGAAATTGACAACAAGGTAAATGTCTATCATAAGAGGCTGATTAGATAAATCATGGTGCAGCTATATGATAGAATAGTACACAGCTGTGGAAAACAATGAAGCAGCTCTAGATGTATCCCCAAGATATTTTAGGTAAAAAAGCATGGTGCTGAATGGTTTCCATAGTATGTTACCGTTGATGTATTTTGCAAAAGGCTCCCTCTAACATACATTTTCTCTCGATATAGATATATAGGTATATATAGATATAGATACACACACATCCTTTGTAATGTTTGAACTTTGTTCCATGTGCATGTGTTATTTTAAAAAAAATTTTAAAGAAAAAAGAGAAACAAGATTTAGAAAACACGTGAGGAAGTTCAGTACGATGTCAAATGAAATGTAAAAGAAGAAACTGTGGATCTTTGTAGAAAAAAAGATTTGAGGTACCATTCAGATACCAAAGTATCAGTCACCTCATTCATGATTTATATGACTCCTCCCCCTGAGGGAGAGAAAGGACATGGGGGAGAAGCTACAGCTCAGTAGGAGGACAAAGACACTTTTTCTCAGGGAAGCTGTATGATTGATTAGTTAAGATCATGAGCTTCGGACTGGACAGACCTGGATTTGAGCCCCTGTTCATACACTTGTGTGACCTTCCAGAAATTATTTAATTCTCTTGAGTCTTAGTTTCTTCATCTATAACATGAGGATAATATCTCACAGAATCGTCATAAATGAGATCATGTATTTAAAGGTGCTTAGCCCACTGCCAACACATTGGGCTTGACATTTGTCAGTGGCTCGACAAATGATAGCTATGTAATCAACAGCAGAGCTGTCCACAGATGGGGCTTCAGAGGGGAGGTGACGAGTTCCTCAGCAGGAGAGGTGTTCAGGCCCAGCCTGAATGGTACTGGTAGGGAGGTCGTAAAGATGTCAGCAACAGGAGGCCTGCACTAGAAGACCTTTAAAGGTCTTGGCCCACCCTGAAATTCTGGAACTCTGAAAATTAAGTTCTGAAAGCAAATTAAGCTCCATTCCAGTCTCATTGACTTAACTACCAAAAGAAAATGCCCAAGGAGAGTTGGAGTGACCCTCCTGCAAACAAGGAGCCAGCAAGGGGGGCTGTCCTTCCTGAGTCTGAACACAAAAGTCTGACACTCCTTGCCCTCATGTTCCTCCACTCTGGCTAGCATTCTTGTTACCTGGAGAAGTCTTCTGTGCCCCTCTGTGTGGGGAGGCTGCAAGTACTGGATTTGTTCTGTAAGAAAAGAGTGTATGGGGAAGAGGAGAAAACAGACTCAATGCTGGAAAGTTATTCCAGTATTTCGGAAATCTGCTGGAGAGCCACGTGCATACTGCCTGCGAGTCTTTTTTTGGTTGATTCAAGAACAGGCTATGAATATAAATGAAGCTCTGAACAGGCCTTTTCCTCTTTCACTAATAAAGGATCAATAGTTTGAGTAATGAGGACAAGCACTTAATGGAGAAAGAGAAGAACCCAACCCCCTAACACACACTCACACACGTTAGCATGTTATTCAGGCCAGGCATAGAAATAATTTTCCTTGTGTGTGTCTTTCACTTGCTTGTATTGTTGTATTCACTTTCAAAGACTAGACAGCTGCTTGATATATAAAGGAGGACGCTATATTGCATACTGTAGACTGTTTGGAATGAGATCATCCATTTGGGATCTGTAAATTTTTCTTATGTGGCCCTAAATAACAAAAAATCTCTCCATACTTAGATTAAGTATTTGCATAAAGCTTTTACTGTCAACCATCTGAGTTGCCAGAAGAGCTTCCATGTAGATAAATTATTCACAATAATTCATTTTTAAGCTTTAATTTTATGCTACCCAATGGACACCACCTCCTTCATTTATTCTGTCAACAGGCATTTATTGAACACCTATTGTGTGCCAGGTATTGGGGGTACAGAAATGAATGAGACATGGTCCTTGCTGAGGAGGAACTGCAGCCTCGAGGAGGACTGACTCTTAATCAAATAGCTGTTGTACAGTGTGGAGAACTGCACAGAGAACACTGGACTAGAAGCAAGTTGGCGTCAGGGATTTTGCCGTGGTCACTTGCAATCCTGCTGCGCCTAGAGCCTTGCACGAAGCAGGTGCTCAAAAAGCAAATTTTTGTTGAATAAATGAGTAGTGTTAGGAGCACGCAGAGAGTAACTAATACAAGCTGGGTTACCAGGAAAGCTCCCTGGAAGAAGTGATGGCTGAGCTGAATTTTAGGAATTTCCTTCTCTGTTGTCTGTGGGAATGCCGGCACTGGGGTGATGCCACCCTCCTGGAGTAAAATTATAGGAATCTTTTGGGTGCTGTCAGACCCTTCAGTGTACTCTACACACAGTCCCTCCCAGGCCTGTCAGTGACCCAGGGTACAGCGTAGACCTGCGTTCCAATTTGTACCTCTGCTGTGTGTTTTTGCTTGTGAAAAATACTATTTTTATCAATTTGACAAGCCACATATAAAAGCAAATGTGAAGATTGTTGTTGCTCGTGACTCTCCCAACACCTTCTGTCTGCCCTGTGTATTATCTAAAGAACAAAGGTGGTTCTCCAAAGTAGTTATGCCTCCAATTGGAGCATAATTTTCTTCTACTCTTGCGCATAAATTATTTTTTATCATTTAACTACTTCAACTTTCCTTTTGTTTCTGTAGGATGTACTGAAGGCCCAATTGACCTGGTCTTTGTGATCGATGGATCCAAGAGCCTTGGAGAAGAGAATTTTGAGATCGTGAAGCAGTTTGTCACTGGAATTATAGATTCCTTGGCCATTTCCCCCAAAACTGCTCGAGTGGGGCTGCTCCAGTATTCCACGCAGGTCCGCACAGAATTTACCCTGAGAAACTTCGGCTCTGCCAAAGACATGAAAAAAGCCGTGGCCCACATGAAATACATGGGCAAGGGCTCTATGACTGGGCTGGCCCTGAGACACATGTTTGAGAGAAGTTTTACCCAAGTAGAAGGGGCCAGGCCTCTCTCTGCACGGGTGCCCAGAGTGGCCATCGTGTTCACAGACGGACGGGCTCAGGATGACGTCTCCGAGTGGGCCAGTAAAGCCAAGGCCAATGGTAATATGCGATGGAGGTGTGGTTTACACCACTCAGGGTTCAGGTTTCTTAAACTCACTCAGTGGTCATAGCTGGCCATACCAGTGAGATTTTTGTGAGCATACAGAAAGGCTTCCTGTCAACCGCTGTTATATACCTCTGCTAAACTGTCACCTAGAGGCCTTAAAGGGACCCCACAGGAGTTAAAGGAGTCAGGAAGGATGCGAAAGGCAGATTGCTGACTGGGCGGTTAGGCTACACACAGACCACACCTGACTAATCACCTACCGTGATTTACTAGCTGGTGTGTGACCTCAGTGAAGAGAGTCAACCTTGCACGTTCTGTTTTAACCACAGATAAATACACAACAGTTCCCAAACACTGGTCTGGTTGCTCTAGAATCACCTAAAGAGTTTGGTAAAAATAGATTCCTGGTGGGAGGAACTTCTACTGATACCTTTTTCAAACCAGTGCTTTAGTCAAACACTGAAAGTGCAATAGCCTTAGGATAGTGAATACTCCTGTGTTTGCAGGAGGCAAATTTAGCTTTTTTTTTTTTTTTTTTTTTTGTGGGGAAGATCAGCCCTGAGCTAACATCTGATGCCAATCCTCCTCTGTTTTGCTGAGGAAGATTGGCCCTGGGCTAACATCCGTGCCCATCTTCCTCTACTTTATATAGGACGCCGCCACAGCATGGCTTATCAAGCGATGCGTCAGTGCGCACCTGGGATCCAAACGTGCGAACCCTGGGGCCACCGAAGCGGAGTGCACGCACTTAACCCCTGTGCCACCGGGCCAGCCCCAAATTTAGCTTTTGAGAAAATCAGAATATTAGAATAGATTATGACTCTAAGCTCTTGTTGCTCAGTAAAGCCCAGCCTCTTCTAGGAGGTTTTTCTGACCCCAGGTGTAATGCAGGGAGGGATTTGAGGGTCCTTTAGTTGTGTATAGATGTAAAGTGTGGCAGAGGAGTATGGCCCTTGGAAACGGAAACCCAGAACCTAGGATGGTTATTAGAGACAGCTTAAGGAGAGTGTCTGGATTCCTTGGGTGATGAGAAAACTGAGGTTGTGAAGCAGTTTTCTTGAAAGCCACGTTATTTAAGAACTTGTGTGCCCACTGCTTTCACAGGTCCTGTCAGGGGAAACGGGGTATGCACAGACCTGTGCTTTATTCAAGACTTTATGGACCCAGTGCCTGGATCAGGCCTGGCCTGTAGTATGTGTGACTAATACTTGCTGAGTGAATGAACAAAGAAGTGAAAGTGCTAGCAATCCCATGAGTGAATTCTGTTCCTCCCCACAGAAAGGGTGGTTCACAGCAACATTCAGTCACTCTTTGTGAAGGAGGCCATTTTATTGATATTGCTTACTTCACTATTCACTCCTTTCTCCTTGCCCAGTAGAGTAGTAGCTGCAAAAAGTGTCCTGCCCTGAGTCATCTGGGTGGATTGTAAGACTGGCTGCTCACACCCAGGTCCTCTGCTTCTAGACTAGCTTGCTAGAGCTCATGTCAAACCCATGGGCCCCTATAGCCTGCATTCTTAAAATGTCTTGGGGAAAGCATCTTGTCTCCCAAGACAGTGGTTAGCCCTTTTATTTGTCTCACTGAGACCAATCTACCCTACCTTTCCCCCACTCAGATTTCCACCAATCACCTAAACGCAGGTGGTAAGAGAAACATGTTTATTTGGTTCTTCAATCAACAAGATTTATCTGAAGTGACATCCTCTAGTGAATTTAATTACTCCTATGCATAGCTAACACAATCTTAAAATAGTAGTTATCCTTTTTAGGAAGTTGTGCATAATGTCACTGAGCTCCCAGACAAATATGCTGAACTTGGCTACTGACCTTACACAGACTGGGGGCAAGGCATAACTCTTGTTCCTTGGCTTGAAGAGCCACTTGTTTGTGTATTTTTAAAATATCTAGTCTAATGAATTACCCAGAATAAGATATCAGTGCTGAAAAATGTTGAAAACCAAGCAGAACTTCAGTTCTTATTGTGTTTTACTTTCAAATGAAGAGTACATCGAGGAAGGGAGTCTAATGACTAATTTTGTATAGAAAAGCTTTTGGAGCAATCTCATATCCCTTTTGAAATCTAAGGTTGATACCTGGGTTTGTTCTTTTTTCTGACTTTGGGGGTTTCCAGTGGTCTGCAGATTCTCTGTTTCAGCTTAGTACCTCCTCACAAGGCTTTGTCTTCCCAAGAGGAGTGGACAGAATGCAGCTTCACCCGGCCCCAGGTCACTTAAAGTTCCTACCCTGTACCTCTGAGATGTAGAAACTAGGTTATAAGGTCATAAATTGATTCACTTCTTAGAATTCTCCTAGAAGAGATTCCCATTTGTTAGACATTAACATAGTGTTCTCTTCTGTTTTATCTACAAGGCTAACTCAGGGAAAAGTTGAAGATTTGTTAAATGACCTTGCCCAGAGCTGAGCAACAGTTTGGTGGTCTAGCTCCCCAACCTCTCCTAGATGCCTCACCTTCCTTTCTCTTGGATCCCTCTCTTTTGTTCATAGGGCCAAAATAAAAATAGTGGAAAAATAAAGGGAGGTTGACATGGACCGCTCAGATCGCACCACTTAATATCTATCTGGCTTTGGGTGCAGTACACACAACTTCCAGACCCTGGGAACACAACTCTAACTACCTTGTTCTTAATTTGCCCTGCACCTTAGGTATAACTATGTATGCTGTTGGGGTAGGAAAAGCTATTGAGGAAGAACTACAAGAGATTGCCTCTGAGCCCACAGACAAGCATCTCTTCTACGCAGAAGACTTCAGCACAATGGGCGAGATCAATGAAAAACTAAAGAAAGGCATATGTGAAGGTACTACAGCTTACGTCTAGGAGAGATCTTAGCAAACAGGGCAGCATGAACCCTTGAATGAGAAATTCTCAACCCATTTCTTCAAAATGCTCAAAAAAGTACCTCTCTGGTATGCAGGGCCAGCGATGCCTAGAAATACTAAGCACAAAAAGTGGAATAGGGGAGAGAGAAGACAAAAGTAACAGCTAACACTGCTTGAGCGCCTGCCCTGTGCCGAGCAGTGTGGTAAGTGTTTTGACACACCAGCATACTTATCCTCACAAAAACCCTATAGAAGTGATCATTTAACTAAGAAACGACCATTAGATAAATCAGGAGAGCTGATGCGCAATTTCAGGATATGCCTGGAATCGGAGTGGAAAAGGATGGTAGTCACGTCCACCCCACTGCTGAAAATTTAACGAATGCCTTCCTGCGTGGTTCTGTTTATAGAACATTAGACTGCCCCTGAGAATTTAGATTTTGTTATGTACAGGAGCTCTCTGTGCTTTTGTCCAGTTCACTCATTGTGCCAGGTATGCTAACATAGAGCAGTTCTGTTCATTTTCCCTTTTACTCATGTCCCAGGTTCAGTCACCAATAAAATCCCAGTCTAAGTGATGTGTCTTACTCCTCTGAAGGAAAGAACAATGAGATGAAGGGGAACCAAGAAGGGAAGGCCTTTCAGCTTTCTAAAGCGAGTAGATAAGGTTTTGTCTCTAGGCTGTTTCATTCAAGTTGAAATGCCTTAAGTGGAACTGCTGTCACTACAACTTACTCCTTGGACAACTTTAACTTTTTTTCCCACCCTACGTTCTTGACATGACATTTTTGGGGGCGTTCCTAAGTAAGACGCACTTTAGTGGTCCAGACTTCTCTTACTACAGAAAACTGCCCAGAGTGGTCTTGGATTATCTTGGTAACCAACTGTTTTTTGAATCTGTGGTGTTACTAAGTAAAACCGAAATACCCTGGGTTACAGCAGGTAGGTAAAGAGTTGGTCTGGGACCAGTTTCCTAGAGAACACATGATGCATGCAGACAACTGTCACTCCTTTTGTTCTTTTTCCTCTCAGCTCTGGAAGACTCTGATGGAAGTCAGGACTCCCCAGCAGGGGAACTGCCAAAGAGGGTCCACCAGCCAACAGGTAAATTTTAAAAAGCAGTGTTTTCAGAACCTTTGGTGGATGCTTCCACAACGGCATCCCCCCAGACAAAAGTTGTAAAGAAGTAAAAGTAAGTAAGATTTGAATCCCGTTAATTATGGCTTTTCTTCCCCTCACTCATATAGGAAATATTTACCCTACACTTTAAGCCATATTTGGTAATAGCCTCTCTGCTGACAGTCTTTTTGCCACAGTATGTCCCAAAGTAAAGCTGTGTGCCCCATGCTAGGAATACCAAGTACCTTACTCTGACAGCTGATGGCTGTTTCATAACCACAACCATGTTAAGCAGGTTTGACTTCAATTTTCTTTCTCCTTACAGAATCTGAGCCAGTCACCATAAATATCCAAGACCTACTTTCCTGTTCTAATTTTGCAGTGCAACACAGATATCTGTTTGAAGAAAACAATCTTTCACGGTCTACACAAAAACTTTTTCATTCAACAAAATCTTCAGGTAATTCCAAGTAGAATATCACTATAAGGTAACTTGCCAACAAGTTTGCTTGCCAACAAACTGAGCTTAAAGGGGGAAAGGAAAGGAGGAAGTAGGAAATAGGACAGGGAAAAAGAGAACTTAAGTAAAATGAGAACTAAAAAAATAAACTAAAAGAAACTGAGTACATAGTCTTCCCCAGTGCACAATAAAGGCCACTTCCAGTGTTGGAAGCATATACAGCCCTTTCCTGGTATTTACTGGATCTGGCTGCATGGAAAAAGTTGAACATTTCTTTCATTATGGTTTCCTCCATATGCTGATTCAGTCCTATTATTATGCGTCTGGGAAGTCTGGTGAGTTATAGAGGTGAACACTTTCCATCTGCTTTCTCAGGAAGTCCTTTGGAAGAAAAACCCGATCAATGCAAATGTGAAAACCTTATAATGTTCCAGAACCTTGCAAATGAAGAAGTAAGAAAATTAACACAGCGCTATATCCTTTTCTATTATGCTTCTGTATGGATGCAAAGGATATTATCAGAACTTCATGAATACCATATGTGGGTATATATCAAATGAAGTCATTTCCATAAAGTCAAGAATAGTGAACTCCTGGAAAGGCTTTTTTCTTAAGCATCCTGATAGGTATTTGAGAGCCAAGGGCAAGCCAAGCTTAGTGGCAAGGGTCAAGCACTTAACTGCTGTCTGTGTTCTAGGGGGTTTAGCAACAAGGCCAGTCAGCCAGTCAGTATGCAAAGTAAAGAAAAAACAGAGTTATTTAATGCCCTCTCTGCTGAGAGGAAATGAAGGATATATACTACGTCTGGCATGCATGAAAGGTACAGTATGTATAGGCAAAGAGTGCTGTAGGATGAAGAGGTCTCAAACTCTATCTAAATTGCAAACCTTTCCTTTGGCCCCAAGCCACACTGCAGCCACATTTGATCAGTGTGGACTTTCTAGAGGACTGGTGTTGGGGTATTTTTGTTTGTTTGGCAGCAGAGATCTTTTATATCAGCACTCTAAGATGAAACATTCTGCTGAGGGAACCAATGATTCATTAAAACAATATTACAAATGCAAGGAATGCTTAGAGATAATGGAGAAATGAGGATTCAGTGCTTTTACACACTTAACACCCTTGCCAACTGCTCTGAATTTAAGATTACAGTAAGCTTACTAAAACTGGCTGACATCTCTGAACATGCACCAACTAGTCTAAAGGGAAAGGATTTAATTCTGAACTATTTCTGTGCCAGTGGGTTTATATAAGAAACAGCATATAGCCATTCCCTTTCTGAAAGCAGAAATATGCTCCCCTAAGTAAAATAATCTGACAGTGGTTAATATAGATGATGAATCTGGGCCTCTACTTCTGCCACCAAGGGGGCGAGTGGAGAGTATTAAGGAGTTTACAGGGAGGAAGACAAATGCTTATTCTAATGCCCCTCTCCTCTCCCCTTTCCCACTCCATCTCTGACGGTCTACTTATAAAAGATTAGAGACTAAGGAAGTTATATATAAAAGAGCATAGGTCAGAGGCTTCAAAGTGGGCCATATTCGGCGTCATGGGTGAAAACTCCCCATCTCTCTTCTTCTCTTCTGACCTCATATCTTACTTTCCAAGGCCTAATCATTTTGTTTTCTCTTCATCACATTCCCGACATTATCAATTCTGGCTCCCAGAGGTGTGCTATGGCAAACTAATATACAAGCAACAGGGGTGTGAGTAGAATTAAAAATTAAAAAAAGAATTCAAACTGAGCTATCTGTATTTAACCCAAAAAAGATTTATAGTGTTGATAGCATGTGTTAAATGAGTTACTATAAACTTACAAGTCAAGGTTTTAAAATACTTAACAAAAATGGAAAAAACAAAGCCTGTATATTTCAGGACAAATTTTTATGTAGATAAATCAAGTTGTATTTGAATGTAGATAAAAATAGGCAATTTAGGGCTGGCCCCGTGGCTTAGCAGTTAAGTGTGTGTGCTCCGCTGCTGGCGGCCTGGGTTTGGATCCTGGGCGCGCACAGACATACCGCTTCTCTGGCCATGCTGAGGCCACATCCCACATACAGCAACTAGAAGGATGTGCAGCTATGACATACAACTATCTACTGGGGCTTTGGGGGGAAAAAAATAAATAAATAAAATCTTAAAAAAAAAAAAATAGGCAATTCATATTCCTCCTCTTCCTTAATTTGAGATTTACTAGAAGAAATGACACAGAGAATGGAAGCCCTGGAAAATCGTTTGAGATACAGATGAAGACTCAAAATGCTCTACATATTTGTAAATCATTGAATCAAGGATTATAATGAAAGCAGTTCAGAGCCCCAAAGCTCAGGCTATCGTTAATTGTGTAAGGTTGTAAAGTAAAATATAACTAGTACTGAAAAAGCTGGTTTGCTATATACAACAAAGGCAAAAAGTAGACACTAACTTGTATAAATTTATTGAGGAAAAAAAATCCTTCAGAATCTTAAAATGAGTTTGCCAAGTGAGAACAAATAAACTATGCAAGATAGTCTGTAACATACTGTGGACCTGTTTTGCTTTTGCCTCGTCCTGCCTTAGAGTGTTGCAATCTGATTTGACTACAAAATAAAGTTTGCAGCCTTACTTGTGTAGAACACTGGCCATAGGAAAAGCTATTTTTTTTGTATTAGACTTTACCTTGATATATGTATATGGATTTATGCATAAAATCATAGAACATATGTACTTGTATAACAAGTTGGATTTTTTTTTTACACTATTAAAATTCACTACTTCAGAGAATGGTATTCTGTGTAAAATTCTTCATTTAACTTTAAATGCAAGGGATGTATACATGAGAAATGGCCAATATGCATATGAAAAACCTGTTGAATCTCACTGGTATTCAGGAAAATGTAGGTTAAAACAATCAGCTTGGGGTCGGCCCCATGGCTTAGCAGTTAAGTGTGCGCGCTCCGCTACTGGCGGCCCGGATTCGGAACCCCGGGCGCACACCGACGCATCGCTTCTCC